GCGATGATGGCTGGTGCTGAAGAGATTTAGTAATCCTAAATTGTTTCAACAGTGTTTGGATTTTTGATTTTGAGGTACAACGTGGAAAGGGAGAAGCAGTCAGTAACAAGATGCTGAGTCAGGAGAGGTAGGAGTTAAATTGTGCTCTGCGCCCCATTTAATGAAATGTGTTGTAGCCAGTGCCACAAATTTGATTTGAACAATTTCTATTTTTCCCAGCAAAGATGTTATTACAGGTCAATCATTTCCATAAGTGAGAGCATATTTCTGGTGTATCCTACACTGACAGATGGCTAGAAGACCTCTCTTTCATGATCCCAGGCAGAATAAAAAGGCAATTTACTATCTATAGGACTGTGGGTACACTGGTAATGGAAGAGAATCATTCTTATACAAATAACTCAGTGTTTGAATCTGAGCTATAGCCAAATCAATTTGATAAACCATCAGAATATGATTGTACTGGCTCCAGACTGCAAAGGCAATGCATTACATTTTTCCCCACAGGAAACTATTTCCCAAGGAAACAACAATTGCTCGATTGCTTAAAAGAAAATAACTTGAGTTCAGATTATCGGTGAAAACTGAAGATGGCGACTGATGTTCAAGGTCAAGACTCATGAGGGAGAAATCAGGATGCTAGGCTGCTCCTCCGAAACTCGTGGAGCTTGTCTGCATGCCCCTGGCTTTCTCTGCATCTATTTCTCTTTGTGATGGAGCATCTCACCCTTGCACCCTCAGGTGTTCAGAGGCTCCCTGCTTTTCACTCAACTAAAAATTTTGCCTTCAGGAAAGAAGTTATCGTTGGTTTGGGTGTCCTCCCCTTAGCTCCCTTAGAATCCCTTGCATGTATCTACAGGGAACCTGCAGTTCCCATGTTCTGCATGGGTTTCCTATCCAGGAGGAAGATTCACCACTGTTAACTCTTGGAGGAGATATTCTGGAGAGAGGGTGAGGCTTCCCGACTCCTAGCATTAGTTCTAGGGCAGTAATTCTCAGTGTGCTTTCTGGACCAGCAACATCAGCTTCACCTGGGAAGTTAGAGATGCAGGTTCTCAGGCTCACCCTGACCTGCTGAATCAAGAACTCTCAGGGGTGGGGGGTGGGATTGGCAATCTAGGGTTTTACAAGCATGCCAGATGATTCTGATGCATGATCATTTAGAACTACTGCTTGAGGACAGCTGAGAACCATTCGCAGCTGGAGTGGCTCATAGCTGAGCTCCAAGATTTGGCTCCTCTCCAGGGGTAGCCTGCACCCAGTGACTGGATGAAAGGCCTGGCCTCTTGCCTTAATTCAGTACAACTTTGAAGGGCCATCTTAACTCTAGAGCTCCCTGTGGGATCCGCTGAGGCTTCTGTTGCAGATGCATTGCAGTTCTACTTCCCTCTTTGTCTGATTCTGCTTCCATCCAGTACTCCCCACATACCCCCAGAGCACTCCCCAGGAAACCTCCTGCATGAAATATCCATATCACAGTCTTATCTGCGGGGAGGGGAATCTGACCCAAGGCCAGTCACAGCCCTAGCCTGAGCAGCATCTACTATGGGCTGAGCAGTCTGTGCACACTCCTTCTCCCACCCATTAACCCACCGCCTCTGGGGTGTGCTGGATCCTCTGCACACACCTAAACAAGTAGCTCTCAGGCCAGGGTTTAGATGGGGTTGGTGCATCAGGTTGCGGGAGATGGGATAGGCCATAGAATCCCAGGTCAGTGAGATGAGAGGCTGGAAAGACATTTGTGACCTGACCCGAAAGCCCAAGAAAGGGAGGTTTGATGTTAAGGTAATCAATCCTCTTGCCCTGGAGGTGGGGAGAAGGAGGCTGGCAATTATAGGCTGGGCTTTCATCCAGGATCTGGCACATATATCCTGATGCATTGAGATGAAAAGATGTAGGAATGTATTATCACTCTCTGCCCTTCTAAGTCATGGCAGTGTTTCATAATTCCTTTGGATTTTTCTGTAAATTTTATTTACTTTATTCTGGCCAGATATGTTCCTGTGGTAAAACGGGTGAAAAATGGGCCTGTAACTTGAGGATCTTGCAGAACTGCTTGTAATGGTGACATCCCTCTTCCTGCTGGCATTCACGGCGGGGCTGGCTGGAGGATTTGTTTGTGTTCTCTGTTAGACACTCTGATGATACACATTGCGCAGCACCTCGGCGTGCTCATGCAACTGCAGGAGACGTTCTTCTGTGCTGGCTGTACATACCATTCACTGGTGTTCTTTGCTGGGAGTCTGGTGTTGATAATTATCTCCCCATCTATTTTAGCTCACAGCCAATTGCAGGGGACCTTATTGAATAAGTTTTAGATGTTTGATTAGACATATTGATGTACTTTAGGCAACGTGATATGGTGGGAATACATGGAATGGAGGCAGGAGATCGAGTTTCTGGTCCAGTTCTGCCCCTTATGATGGCAGTGTGATCTTTGAGCAGGTCGCTTCCCATTTCTGGCTCTGGTTTCCTCAGGGGCTTAGTAAGCTAGTTGGGGGGTCCTGTCCAACTTGAACCTTTTCTGTAGCAGACAATGGTTAAAGTGCTGTGATTTAACAGTGTACCTGGTACAGGTCACATATGGAAACCTACCTACCCCATAGCGGATACGTTCTGCTGTAATAGGTAGAGGTGCCTGTTTAGGAACATTCAAAACCCTTAGGACTTTTAGCGAAGCAAGCTGACAAGCTGCTCTTCTTGTGGTCAATGACATCGAAAGCACTTTCTCTAAGTCCATTTGACTCCCAAGTACTCTGAGAATAGGGAGTATTGACTAAGCATTACACGTTCTAAGTACTTTGTATATTAGAACACGTGGACTGCATGCCGGACACTCTCCGTTTGTGACGCCCGAGTCCTACTTGGTACTTCACAGCACACATCATGACCTGATACATTACGTTGTATATTTAGTTATTGTCTGACTCCCCCTTATGAGAATATAAGCTTTCTGTGAGGAAGAATTTTCTTTTGTTCTCTGCAATATATATAGTGTGAGGCACAGGGCTGGTACTTAAAATCTATCTGTTCAATGAGTGAATATATAAATAAACACACTTTCATACATATATAATAATATTAAGGTTCAAACAGTATTAGGAAATAGGTACTATTGTTTTTGCCATGTTTTAGGTGAGGAAACTGAAGCTTAGAGAGGTAAAGGAACTGGTTTTAATCTGAGGTAGTCTGTCTGGCATCTCTGCTTAATTATGCTGACACTTCCTTCTTTTGCATATATTGCCTATCTCAAGCCAGGCATTCTGGAATAATCTTTGAACCTCTTTCTTCAAAGAGGCAGAGTCCCATATATGAGTCACAGTGCACCCTTTATCAATAATAACCATTGATGGAGTTTCTGCTCTACCATACAGGGTCTAGTTCTGGACATACGTAGGTTCCAGCCTGAAGGAAGATATAAGGTTTTTGGAAGGTGAAAGTGATGTTGATAGATGGTAGGTAGGTAGGTAGATAACCACATGTGGTAGCCGATACTGACTGCCAAATAAGAGGTGCAGGCTAGTGGCTCCCAAATACCCGAACTGACCTTCGGCAGGCTATAGAAATGTCATCTAGTAAGCTGTATGTTTATCTATTTCTTTGCTCACTATTTCTTCTCGTGTCTGACTCCTTCCTTCTGGGTTCCTTTCTTACAATCCTGCACTACATTCATCAGTAGATGTCGTTGGTCTTCTTAGAGCCCAGCAAAACATATTTTTAAAAAGCTTTTTCAGATTTGGGCCCCTGTACCCATAAAGGCCATGGGAGTCACAGGAGGAAGAATTCACTGTTGGCTGAGGTGGTTAGGAAAGAGGCGGGAGTGAGAATGACTTTGTGGAAGGACAGGAGCAGAGGAGAAGAGAATAGGGGAAAGTCACTCCTGGAGGGGAGAAATGGAGATGAGGAAGGAACAACAGGAGGAGAGGTGCTGATGCAGCGCTATGAGATGCTGAATGCAACCCAAGAGATCTGGAATCAGGGCTGTTGGGGCCCCGGGCAGGCCACCCCAAAATATCCCACAACCGCATAGATTATTTTGAATTGAAGTTACTTGAGAAGCAAAAAGGGCCTTGTGACCCTCCTGTCTCTGTTCACCCTGAAAGCAGGAAACAAATCTCCCCTGTGAAAGGGGCGCTCCCATGTCCCGACCCCCAAGAGCTGGGAATCCAGGGCGAGAAGCTACAGAAACAACCTTGCTCACTTACTACCTGCAGCCTAAACTCTGCCTGAAGTCCTCACTAATTACATACCCCAAACCTCAGTTTCTTTGTCCTGTCCATTCTTCAAAAATTTGCTGTTTCTTTGTGTAAAAGAGAGAGAGATACTCTCCGAGCATGGTTTCTCTATGATCTCCAATACGTACGTACTAAACTTGAGTTTTTCTTCGGTTAAGCTGGTCTTATCTGATTAGCCCAGCCATAAGAACACGAGAAAGGAAGAACAGAGATTTCCCCCGGCTCTGACAAATCAAAGAGGATCTAAAACTAAACGTGCGTGTGTAAATCTCACTGGGTTGAGGGAAACTCCTGGATGTTGAGGCTGAGGAAGGAGAGCTGTGCTCTCCCTTCCAGAGAAGTTAAGAGTCTATATTATGAGTGAGACCAGTTTGGCGTTAAATGTGTGCCCTATAATTTGCAGGACCTTGGGCGACTTAATTAACCCTCAAGGGAAGCCAGTTTTTCCTTCTTTAAAATGAGAATTATAGCTCCTACCACAGAGGTTATTATAAGGATTAAAGTAGAAAATACATTTTAAAAAGCTTTGCAAACACCGTCTGGGACTTGGTAAGTGCTCATTAAATGTTAGTTGTTATTATTGTTATTTTATTGAAAGTTAGAATGTTGATCAACCCTAAATTGTCTAAGTTTTAGCAGATGAGACATTTAAAAATTGACCTTAATTGCCAGCCCAGTCTTGGAAGCTTCTCTGAATTGGAGAACGTTGATTTCTAACTTATACATGTCAATCTCTTGCACATGGAAATGGGGGAAGCTACTCACAGAATGACTGGTCCAGAGGCTCCCTGGAAAACATCATTAGGCAATTCTTCCAAATTATTATTATAACTTAGATTCCTGGGCATGGAGTTGAAGAAAGAAGAAGGAAAACACAAGCCACATAAACATTGCTGTTGTAAGAGCCATTTCCCTCTAAATGGCCTGGAGGAATAGTCAGGGCTACTTACAGCTCATCTAGTTGGGTTCCATTGAATGCACAGTTGTGTATTTCTTGAATCCCATTTTTACTCAGCCGTCTGAAATAAAAGGCCCATTAAAAAACCAATAATGTCAGATGCAAACAATACAGGGGCTTCATAATTGGAAGCACTGGGGCAAGGTCATACAGCACAGGTTAGCGGCATAAATAAAATGCCACCCTTAAGGCTCTGGGACAGGAGTGGGAGGGAGGCTGATCTATCACTGTGTAACCTTTTGTAATGTTTGAAGTTTGCATTATGTGCATGTATTACCTATTCAGAGAAACAAATGAAATTTAATTTTGAAAAGCACAAGTAGGCATAGCAGCCTGGATCCTGTAAGGTCTTTGCACACATCATTCGTGTGCAGAGACAGTGCCAGGTGGGGAGCAGATGAAGATCTTTCCCGTTCTGAAGGACAGAAATCATACAGTCATTGAACAAGTGTTTATAAGATAGACAACATTTTGTATCACCTTTCTCTAAGGCCCTAAGCCTCTCACCTATGTTCACCCACAGCAGCAGGCCTGGCTGTCATTAGAAAGTGATCTAATTAAGCTGTCAGACAACCTGAACATCTCCTGTGACCCATAGGGACCTGGTTATTGGAGGTTTGTGGAGGTGGCTCTGGGTTAAGTAAGGCAGAGAAATCAGTTAGAGAGACTGTGGGCTGTGTCAGGGCGAGGTGGTGTGAGCGGGGTGGGAGGAGACTCTGGGGGTGGGGGTGCGTGTGGAACAGTGATCCTGATTGTGCAAAGAGGGTCAGTGAGCAGGTCTGCCTGGACAGGGGAGCCCAAGGACACCCTTGGCCGACAGCTCTTCATTGCTGTGCTCCTGGATGGATCTGAAAACAGACGGAAATCCAAGGTCAGACAGCTTAGTCCGGAAAGCCTCTGACCACTCCCTCTTCATTTGCTGTCAGGTTCTGTCCTTGTCAGGCTCCGTGGGTTTACAAATAAGACTCTTCAAAAAGCTGCCCGGAGAAGCTCCTGTGTGGTCAGGACTCTATTTCCTGGACTGCAGTGGGTACCTAGAAAATGCTTTAAATCACAGGAGAACAACTCTGTGTGTTTTCTTCCTCCCAAAAGCCAGTTTAGCTAAAAACTCCAGACAAGAGCAAGGCATATCTTTTAAAACATTAGCAACCAATTGGTGGGTTCTGGGGGTCAAGAGGTGGCTCTGCGCCCCCTGTCCCACCTACCAGGCACCTACCCATGAGGAAGCCTGTCCCAGGCACATCCAGCCTCTTGACTGACTTGTCAGCCTGTCCCCATGTAGTGAGAGTTACTGGAGCAGCTTCCCCTAACCTGTGGGATGTTCATCCCTGGGGGTTTGGAACAAACACAGTGGTCAGCTAACTTTTTCTGTAAAGGGCCGGAGAGTCAATTTTAGGTTTTGTGGGCCAGAGGCAAAATAGAGGATACCACATATGTACTTTATATAGGTACTTATAAAACAATTTTTACAGATTTTTTATTGACCAAATTTAAAATGTAATAGTAATAATTGAGTGCATTTTTTTATTGTAATATAGGTCTATTGTAAAGAATGGAATTTTTTTCTTGGGGAGGGGGGATAACATTTTGCTTAATTTAGGTTCAATGTTAGTGTTTTCTGTCATTAAAATGTTCACTGTAAAAACCAGTCCTAGCACATGGGCCCATTTGGCCCTTGGCCTGTATTTGCCTGACCCTTAATCTAACACAAGGAGTGTGTAAGTTCAAATGGGTTCCATCTATTTTTCTGTAGACTACATAATTAATATTTTCTGCACACATGTGTCCTGCAAATAGATGTTGCCATGATTAAAAAATATACAGACTAATTTAAAAGAATTATTGTATTCAAACTAGTCCTTTGTCCTTATGGATTTTCTCAATCAACAGACACCATCTTATAGGGAGAGGGGTATATTTTTTGATGTTAACAATGGATCATCATACAAAAAACAAATTATGTCCATGACTCCTGCGCTGGGGTTTACATTAGGATGTAGGACTCTCAGACGGCCAACAAGGAGAAGCCGACGTTTATTAAGTACACTCTTAGTCTTTTAGGAGAGGTAGTGCTGGTTTTAAAAGCTGATGATGATGACAACCTGGGTAGAGCATTAGCTAAAGATAACTGGATCATAGTTTTCCTTAATCTTTTTGTGTTCCTAGTGCGTTCACTCAGCAGAGGCTCAGGAGGCTCCAGGCCAGAGTCTGCACTCAGCTGAAAGAGGGAAGATGCTGGGGGGACCTGGCCCATTAGAGCTCACTGAGGGGCAGGCAAGTGAGATGGAAGCCTACTGAAGAAGGCAGGAAATGCACATGAAGTGAGCCTCTCCTGTGGCCAGGGTGTGCTGGGAGCTGGCACGCATGTAACTTCATTTTATTTTTTCTGAATTCAGCCACTCTGCTAGTCGGCTGTAGCTAGTTGCTTTCCCCATTCACACCCTCTGGTTGCAGGGGCAGGGTGGGTGTGGGGAAGGGCTCAGAGGCTTCCACAGGGTGGGTTTTTATTGCTCATTTTACTCTGAGTCACTAGCCAAGTGTCTGATAATCCTTCATTTGTTGAGCTGTTTTTTGTTTTTTTAATATAGATGTCTATATTTTTAGAACAAGGCCTCAGGATTTTGAAAAATGCCAATGCTTAAAGAACTTTTCAGGCATCAGTGCCATTTGCCATGCTGTTGTTTCTGAGTGCACTTGGATGTCCCTAGTGGGAGAATGTGCCCCTGCATCCAGACACAGCACCCCGACTAAGAACAATTGAAGTCTTAAGCTGTGCTGAGTATGGATCTTCTGATTCTCTTATCTAAGGACTAAGGACCATCTGAGGTTAAGAAAAATAGATTTTGTTCAAAGAAATGTGAATTTATCCTTTAGAGACGTGTCTGAGGAATGTTGACTCTGAGAAAAGTCTCCTCGCTAGGAGAGTCTGTTCCAAATGCTGGGGAACCGCGCAGAGTCCATGAACAGGAGTCAGCAAAGAGAGGCTGTGATCTGCACATTTCTTTTGCAGGTTTGGGTTTACAAGCCTCCATCGTAACTTCTTATTTGCTCAGTTCTTTGCCTCCACTTGGGGAGAGGTAAGACTCGGAAGGTGAGGATGCCTTGTCTTCTGTCTTATGGTCTGGGCAAGAAAGCTGTGTGTCAATAGTAATTTTGAATCACTATATTTAAGAATGTTACAGCAAAGTTTAAAGAAGCACAAACATCCAGGCACAACTGATTACATTTATCACTAATATTCTCCCTCCATGATATAGCCCAGAAATCCTTTTACTATTGTGTTTATGCTACAACCCACTAGGCTGGTATTACTCAGGTACTCACTATTACTCAAGTACTCACTATTTTCCAAAGGCTCCTTTTACCTTTTCTTTTTTTCCCCCCAACCTTCTCGGCCTCGATGATTCTGTGTTCTTGGCTTGTCCTTTGCTGGTGGTCTGGCTAAACCCCACTCATCTTCTACAGCCCAGCTTAGACACAAGCTCCTCGCTCAGCCTTCTTTCCCTCACTGAACTCTTCATTCAACCCTCACATCACAGGCCAGTCAGAATAAATTACTCCTGCTTTACTCTTAGAATAATTGCTTTTGTTTTGCATACATTTCCCTCTGTTCATATTTTAATTATTTTTGCTTTCCCATTCTCTCATATTTCCTACACTCCCATCAACTCATTCCGACACACAAATTCCAAATATCGTGAGCATATTGAGTGAAAGGATTGGATATTACCTATAACTTTTGTTATTAAACTGTGTACTCTGAATACGTGCCTTTGATTTGATTTTTCCCTTCACACATCCAATTCCTCAGCTGGTCTCTTTCAAACCTTTTCTATTGTTCTCTGTAATTAATTTACATCAAATACTGTGCTTAGCTTTATTCTTCAAAATGTTCTCCTTTCTGTCTACTATTTCTCTCTCTCTCTCTCTCTCTCTTTTTTTTTTTGTCCAGCTGGATCTCTGAATCATATTATTGCTTTGAAAAGGACTAAAATCCTTTCTGGACTGGAACTTAACCTTTTGTACATATTGGCATATTAAACACACTCACCCACGCACACACACAAACTCTTGTATGTTTTTTAAAAACAATAATTTGTGTAAAAGAAAGATAAAATGCTTTCCTTACAGATGTAATTGCGATTACTGGTTCCCCAAATGTCATTCTGTTCATCTAACTTCTGCGGATCCCACAGACACTTGGGTAATCCCTAGTGCCCTATTTCTTGGCAACCTTGGGAAGTGGGTAAACTGCCATGCAGGCTACTGGCACAAAAGGTTAGAATGTAGTTTATTAACAACACAAAGTGCATTTAAAAACTTTCCCAAAAGTCAGAGGGAGTAACTCAAGCTCATTAAAAAATGTGATTGTTCCAAGAAAATGAGAAGTCATCTTCTGCACAGCATGGGGCTGAAGAGGAGCTGCTTGGCATAGTTATGAGGGAATATCCATATCTTCTTGATTCAGCCTCCTTCCTGGTCTTTTTCTTTGGGCAACAAAGGCATTGCCAGGCAATAACTAGCTTTATTGATGCATGAGTTATTCTGTCCTTCGGAACAGATGTTGCATCACAGGAGACCATCATTCAAAGAGCAATTTTAAATACTTGAATCGCACCACAGATTCATAAATTATTAACATGACTCCATGTTGTGATTCTGAAATTTAAAGATGGGAAATGAGAGAAAAACACAGAACCAGAGAGAAATTTAAATGGTGAAATGCCAAAGTTACCCAAACAAAAAAGGAGCATCCGGTTATAAGAAAGAGATCATTAAAAGAAAAACCAAATGTTACTCCACTGGGTTTTTTTTCTTTACTTACAGAATCGTACTTTCAAAACTCAGCCCCATGAAAGAATTTCTTTCAACTGTGTGGATGTTTATATTATCTTGAATGTCTCTGGAAGAAAGTACAGACAAATTAGGTATTTAAGTCAGCTCCACTCATGTTACCTTCCCACATTTAGTTCACTTGGCAGGATGTGCTCTTTAGCTGAGGTAAGATCTGAAGAGTTAGTGCTCTGAAGGATGATGAGTCCAAAGTTTGGGAAATAAATGACATCTAATTTATGTTTAGTATATCAGTTCTTAAAAATGTGATTACAGACGTGCAGTCTTTTTTCTCTCTGAAAGTTTTCTCAGCTAATTTCTGTGTGTTAAGGTTCTAACATACTCATTTATTATCATCGCCTCCCCAGTTGGTGTCTGCTCAATATGACAATGACAAGTAAGCTGACCTTTCATCTCCATACCAAACGTCTCCATTCACCTCCGCTGGGCCTTCATCTTCCTCCCATCTCAATCTCCTTCTTACAGCTAGTTTCCCTCCTTCTGTTCTCTTTGGGTCACAGAAAAATGTAATCATTGATTTCTCTCTTCTTAAATGAAAGAGTTGAGAAAGTCTCATTTTCCTCTTTGTCTCCCATCCTCCCATCAAGCATCCCTGCTGGCTCTGATCTAACATATAAATGTGGAAGTAAACTGCTTAGAACAATTTGAAAAATTCCAGGAGATTCTCTATCTTTCTCTCTCCCTCCCTCTCTCCCTCTTCCTTCCCTCTTTTTTTTAGCTCCTTATACCCCTTCCCTACCATTTCCTTTTGGGTCTGTCCAGAGTCTTACAATTTCACTATTGAAAATAAACTTTCCATTATACATTGCCTTTTCCCTTCCTCTTTCAAAATACAGATGCCTTGGGAAAAGGCAAAATACATTATATCAGTTACATAGTGTAAATTCGTTGGATGGTTTCTTTATGCCTAGGGCAGCATGGGAATTCTGGAGGGAAGAGGAGAGAATGGTGAAAGGCAGAGGGAGTTGCAGGGGGAAGGTATTTAAGGCTTTAAAGAGTGAAGACAGGAGAGACCTTGATTTGCTACAAGCTGGCTCTGTTGACAACTGTCTTATTGAGGAGCCTGCTGACTTCCTCCAAACTGAGAACAGCTGGCCTTCAGGTAAAACCAAGGACACTTGCTATTTACCTTCCTACCTCTGCTCACCCGGAGCAACACATTTGGAGGATGTAGACTAAGCAATGCATATTACAGGTCCACAGCCTGTTGGGCAAGACAGCTGTGAGGGAAGAGTTGGTAACCCCTTGAGGAGAAACTTACAGTAGAACCTTTTGGAGAGATTGAATCTTGTGAACAGCTGGCAAGTGCTTAATACCTGTGTTGGAAATTAACCTAGAGAGAGACAAAATGAGAGTGAGAAAAAATGAAGCTGGCTATTTTAGCAATTGCTAGAGTATAAGCTTTCCAAATTCAAAGCATTAGTTTTGAGCTATCAGAAAAACCTACCAGAAAATCCCATAATATGCCCAAATCATGTTTATGTTTTCTGTTTTAAGGCTTTAACCAGGTTCTAGTAAGCTGTTGATTCTTTACACGAAAAATACTTACACTTCAGGCACAAGGGGCTAGTATGCCACAATGCACTTTTTTCTTTAAAGATATGTTAACATGATCCAAAAGTAACTTGCAATTAGATAACAAAATTTTCTTACATCACCTCCTGTTTCCAACCTCCTCATTCTCTTTGGAGAATTGCCCCTTCCCCACTCCAAGTGATTCTGTGAGATAGAGCATGATATTCCATGCCGTTTGACTCCAGAATATACATGTGACCTAAGCTGTGCCAGACTCACTCCTGGGAAGTGGTTGGAGGTTGGTTAGAGCTGAGTCCACTGATGCCATTACCCTTAAGAGATGGTCCATAAATTTCTGCTGCTGAGACTTCCAGAGTTACATTGGATCCTTCTCAATGCCTGCTTGTCTTGGCCTGGGTTTCCCAGGATGCAGAGCCTGAAATGAAGTCTGGCCCATGGGTAGTGTATTTGATAATATGAGTAGTTCAGAGAGTTTTGACAGGGGAAATGAAACAGGGATGGAGGAAAGATAATCAATACAAGGATGAGTTATTGAGTTGGCCGCCACCACTGGTGTTAGTCCTTAATGCCAAGGACTTGATTTAGGAGATTTTCAAAATGGATCTTACAACTGTTGCTTGGAATGGGGGAAAAGGGGAAGCATTTATCCACAAATGACTATTTCCTATTGGTCAAATGTGTCCACATGGTATTAACTCCCCACTTTTGGCTTGCACGCTTTTGAGTGCCCAGTGAGTTCCTGCTGGGCATCTCTTACAGCGGTGTAGAAGAAGCCCCAGACAGGTAATGGGAGGTATATGAAGCCAGACTGTGTGCTGTCCAGTTACACCTGCATTAAGAAACTGGCTGCCACAGCAGGGGTGAAGGTTTTCAAGTGGCACACGAGAGTTGTCTGACACTGTTCTGCAGTATTTCCTTCACTCTTATGAGTTACTCAGAATCCTTTCAACATCTCCCCACTCCAATTTCCCTTTTTTGGCGTTTATGATTCTTGAGTAGACTTTGATGTCTTGTTCCCTGCTTCTATACTCAGGAAGTCAGTGAATTCTGCCTAGGGGTTCTCTGTAATGCTTCTTAGATGTTTTGTTCACTCTTGGTTCCCAATGATCCACATAGAACCCATCTTGGTCAATTCTTCTTTTGATAACTTCAACAGCCCTTGAGATGGTCTCTCTATGTTTTTTATTTGGGGGAAGGGGCTGTTAAAGTTCTTTTTTTGAGGATTTGTTGTGTTATTTACTTCTAAAAATCTACACACAGAAAAATTAACTCGGTTTGGTGTAAAGATCTGAGTTAAGACACATACAGCTGTGTAACCACCAGCATGTTCAAGATATAAAACAGTTCCATCACCCTCCACACTCCACTGTGTTGTCCCATTGTAGTTAATCTCTCCTGCCTCCATCCCTAGCAACCACTAATCAGTTTGTCTCTATAATTTTGCCTTTTCTAAAGTGTCATATCAGTGCAATCATGTATTATGCAACTTCTTGAATCTAGCTTCTTTCACACAGTATAATGCATGTGAGATTCCTCCATGTTGTTATGTGTATCAGTAGTCCATTGGTTTTTGTTGCTGAGTAGTACTCCATTCCATGGATGTACTACAGTTTATTTATCCATTCACCACTTGAAGGACCTGTAGTTTGTTTCTAGTTTTGTGATTCTAAAAAAACCTGCTTTAAACATTTGTGTACAGTGTGTGTGTGTGTGTGTATGTGAGAGAGAAAGAAGACATTTTTGTTATTTTTGGGTAAATGTCTATGAGTGGGATTGCCGAGTCTTACAGTAAACGTATGTTTAACTTTATTAGAAACTGCCAAACTGTTTTCTGAAGTAATTGTACCATTTCGCATTCCTACCAGCACTGAGTGAGAGTTCTAGTTGTTCTCCATCCTTTGGTTATTTTAAAAAAATATTCTTTGAAAATAAGTAATACATGTTTATTGTGAGACTTATGAAAAATATGGAAACATCTACAGGAGAAAGTGAAAATCACCTCTAGTTTCACTACCCAGAGGTAGCAGCTTCTGTTAACATTTGGAGTTTGAAGTTTCTACCACAACAAATAGCTTTCATGATTGCTCTCCATAACCTCTGAGATTCCACTCATTGCCGTAGCTAAATTTCTACTAGCTTGATACAGTCCTGTTCCACATTTGTTATTTAATCATATCCAGCCTTCTACTATTTTTAGATCTCTTCCCATGTGTCTATGCAGTCCTCCCTTAATAAGGAATCAAAGCAAGGACCATATTTAATATTCTCTGACAATCTATACTACTGTGTGCAGATTTGGAATGCAGTATGTGCTCAAAAAATATTGGGTTAATTGGCTGATGTTTCTAAAACATTTCTTACTTCTGTCACCAAGAATGTATCAAAACCCTTATTTAGTTAATTTACTTGTCAGGTATTACTGTTACTTGGAGTAATGAGTCTTAAACAGATACAGGGAGGTCTGGAGTTCAGGAATCAGGAGAACCTGCATGCCAACTCTGGCATGAACGAGACACAAGCCACTTCATCTCTCCAGACTGGAAAGGATGTGGAGTGCATGAATATCAAGGTAGACATTGTATCAGAAACCTCTGTGCCTTGCTTCACATCCTCTTGGTCCATCCTTAACTCTAGCTGTTACCATAGTAACCAGCTACATACAGATTTAACTTGGCAGACACTGGCCTCAGCTATCCTGGGTGTCTCTCATTTTCTGTTCTGGATTTCTGTACCACCTCTGAGTGGAACATTAATAGGAATCTGCTCAGCCATTCTGAGGCATGTGCAAATTGGGAAGTGCAAGGGAGTTAGCACCCCATACGGCAACTCTTGACTGGTAGTGAACTTCTCTCTTTCATTCCTTGAGTGGACAATTCTGGATATATTCTAAATGACATCTTATGCTCTAGCATAATTGAGCCCCAATTTCCTGGTGTGATCAGCTGACAATACATTCTTGAGTTGGCTTTCTCTCTTTCCTTTTCTCTTCTTCTTAGTCATCCAATCTCTTTCTTTGAGTTTGGATGTAAAAATAAACTACTTGCATGTAAGTTCTTGCTCAGACATATTTTGGAGAATCTAGGCTAAGATGGATACTAACTTGCACTGAATTTCACATTTTACATAGATTCAGTGATGGTTACTATCTCCTTTTACTTCAAATCTGCCTCCAGTTGCAGCCCAGGCCTGTTTCTCTTTTTTCTTTTACAGTAACATTTCTAGAAAGTGTTGTCTGCGTATGCTGTCTTCCTTTTCTTATCCCTTTCATCTTCAACCTGCTCCAATTCTCCACAAAAACTGCTTTTGTCATACCCCCAAGTTACCAACCCACAACTAATAAATCTAATTAGTAATTTAAATTCTCATATTTTAGACCTCTCAGGAGAATTCAGGACTCTTCGCCAGACTCATTCTTCTATTTGTTTTTGTCCCATTACCCTCATCTGTTATTCCTCCTCTTTCTTTGTTACTCCTTTTTAGTTCTGTTGACTCCCCCTCCTCTATCTGTTCTGTGTCTTTTGTCTTTTTCTCTATCATCTTGCTTGGAAGATCTCGTTTCCCATGGCTTTGCATGCTATCGATATGGGGAGAGTTCCTAGAATCATACTTGACTTTTGACCTCTCTAATCTATTGCTAATTAAAGTTTACTTCACCTCTCCTTCTGAATGTCTCATTGATGTAGCAAACTAAACTTGTTCTCCACCCCATCACTTCCCCCAAACTCCTCCTCCTCAATTCTTCCTTATAAATAGCACTCCCATCTGTTGATTTTTTGTTAGAAATGTGACAGTTAAACTTGGCTTCTTTGCCTTCACTCCCTAACATCCAATTCATCTCAAAGTCCTGTTAGATTCCATTTCCAAAATATTTCTTGACTTCCTACAATTTCTTCCATCTCTACTAACACCATTCTAGAGCAAGCCGTCATCATCTTTCCTCTAGATTTCTGCGATTGTCTCCTGCTTTCCACACATTTAATCTTGTCCTTTTCTCACCCATTCTCTATACAGCACACAGAGCATTCTTTTGAAAAATGTAAAGCAGATTGCTTTAGTCCTCTGCTTTTCTTTAGCTCTTTTCCATAGTGAGATTTTTACTCCTTACTGCCTACTTTTTCACTGAGATCCTGCTGTTCACCCAGTACACTTCAGCACCAGTGGCTTTCTCTCACTTCCTCAGATACACTAAGTTCTTCCCTGTCTCCAGGCATTTGCACATGCTCTCTCTAGAAGGCTCGCCGCCCACTCCTCTCTTGGCTGACTCAGCTCATCCTTCAGGGTTCAGTTACAAATGTCGTTCTTCAGAGAAGAGCTCCCTGACTACCAATCTAAATTAAGGACCCAATTTATTCCCAGTATACTCATATCCTTTTTAGCACTCATCAAACTTCTGAACTATATATTATTTTGTGTTTATTTGTTCAGTGTCTGTCTTTCCAACAAGTTGTGAATGGCATGAGAGCAAAAATCACATATTTCCTGAAAACTCAGTGTTGGCACAGTGGTTGGCACGTACAATGTACTTGATGTTTATCAGGCCAGACAATGTGCTATGTGTTGTCAAGAGATGAGCACAAAAAAGGAATCATTCACTACCTGTGTTCATCACATCTAACTGATTTGACGTTAGATGGATAGCAATCTGGCTCTCTCTCTTAGTGAATGAGTAAGAAATTTGTACAATTGAAGGAGGAGGGAAGAAGTCATGATTGTCAGTGAGAATGCTACAAGTACATTATTTAATGTAATAGCATGAGCTCCCAAAGCCACTATACTTATGGGATATCTGTAAATGTC